GCAGCGCCCTGACCCCAGGCCTCTCCTCAGGCGGACCCCGACCAGGACGCCTCCCGCAGCCGGCTGCGCAACGCCCAGGAGAAGATGGTGTACTCCCTGGTGTCCGTGCCCGAGGGCAACGACATCTCCTCCATCTTCGAGCTGGACCCCACCACCCTCCGCGGAGGCGACAGCCTGGTCCCCAGGTACGGCTCCCGGGGGCTCTCCCGCTGGCCAGGGCCGTCTCTGCAGCCTGGCGGTGCCGGGGAGTCTTTCCGGAAGGTTTCGTACAGGAGTTGGTGAAGGACTGTTCCCACTGCCCATTGAAACGCGGCTGAATTCTGTTTTATTTTTTATTTTTATTTTTATTTTTTTGGCTCATCATTTGTGAGTTCTTGGTGGTTGGACAAGAAGTGCTATACAGTGGGGCCTTGACTTACGAGTTTAATTCGTTCCGTGACGGAACTCGTAACTCAAATTACTCGTATGTCAAATCAAAAGTGAACGAGTGAGACACGTGATGCTGGGCTGATGTTGTGGCGTTCACTGTGACGTTCGCTGCGCCAACTAGCGGTGGGGTATCTGAAGCTGGCTCGTAACCTGAATTTTAGCTCGCAACTCAAAGCAAAAAATCGGCTGAGAGACGGCTCGTATCTTGAAAAACTCGTTAGTCGGGACACTCGTAAGTCAAGGCCCCACTGTATTTGGGTCCATAAGCTGAACCTGAAGGCTGCGTTGCTCGGTCTTTCCTCTCTTTCTCCTCCCAAAGCCGAGAGATCTGACGAACTGGATAAAAATTTGAGAAGAAATTCTAGAGGAGGGAATGTTTGAAGTTCGCTGAGGGCAAAGTAAATTCTACTTAGGAGTCAGACCAGTCTTCTGTGGCCATTTGACTAAGTTGAGCTCCGTTTTGTTCATGAGAAGGCGTGTGGGTGGTAACTGGGTGTGAATGTGGTGGAGCTCGCGCATGACGAGGTGGCAGCGTCTTCTCGCTGAGCGCTGACCGTCCGGGCCCAGTGCCTGGCGCCGCGCGTGTCCTAGGGTTTCACCCCCACAGGAGCCCCCGTGGGACCGGTGTGCCATTCGCCTTTTAAAGGTAGAGAAACGGAGGCGCAGGGCGTGTAAGCCACGCCCACAGCAGCGCGTCCCATCAGAGCCCACGTCTCGGTGTTTAGGCCGAACTGGGTGCTCGGGCCACTGGCTCAGCGCAGCGTTGCTGTCTGGCTGTGTCGATAGACTGTTCTAGGCCGTGGCTGCAGAGCCTCCGTGTCCCGGCCCCACACCCTCCCTTCCTCTCCCAGGAACTCCTATGTGCGGCTCAGACACCTGTGCACCAACACCTGGGTGCACAGCACCAACATCCCCATCGACAAGGAGGAGGAGAAGCCTGTGATGCTGAAGGTGAGTCCGCAGCCCCCCAGACCCCCTTGGTCCTGCTCCCCACTCCCGCTGCCGGGCTCCTCAGGGAGGAAGGGGGCCGGGGTTCTGCTGCTCCAGCAAAAGCGTGGTCACGGGCACAGGAGAGTGTGGACACGGGCACAGGAGAGTGTGGTCACGGGCACAGGAGAGTGTGGACACGGGCA